AAAAAAAAAAAAAAAAAAACAATGGCTCTGGGAATTAGCTAATGTTTTAACTTAAATGTACCACAGTTCAGCTTTATTAACACAGGTAATTAATTAATTGTTCTTCCTAGAGAATTGTTTTTATCACACCCTTGTGTTTCTCAGAGGTTCCACTTTCTTTATCCTCAACAACTTTCCCCCCATCTCCTGAAAGCAGGGCTCCCAGTAAAAATAATATTCTTATTGTTTCCTACATCTGCAGCTTTTAATTCCCTTTAATTTTCTCTCAGTGTCCTTTGTTAATTCATTCCACTGAACAAACATATACTAAGCATTTATGTTGGGCCAGGTGCTGAGGATTCAGAGATTGTCATAGTTCTTGCTCCTGAGAAGCTGAGAGTCTACTGGTAGCCATTCCAATCAAAGGAGACCTTTGCCTGCATCATACATTTTTCATACCGCTGTTTCCCAACTTTTCAAGTATGAGGACATCTTTTTTAAAAATGACACAGACATCTCACGTAATACTAGGCATGCCTGGAATCTGTTGACTAAGAACTATGTAAGAGAAAGCCATCACAGATATTTTGAAATGAATGTATATCTTATGTCCTCACAGCAACATCTACATAAATTTTAAGAGCAATGTGTATATCCATATGAGATGTTATTTATTCAGTGTATGGGCAGTAATGCATGGAGATCGTTTGCAAAATACTACCAGCCCTTTGATTCACTAGTGAGGCCCATGGTCTGAAGCACTCATTTCACACCTAATTTGCCTTATGATACTCTTATTTTATTGTTGTGTATTGTTACTTAACTTTTGCAAGTGCTTATCTAAATCATATATTTCTTGAGGGCAAAGATCAGAAATTGAATTTCCTGTTTATCCTACAGAAGCTTGCTTCTGTACAGAGCTGAATAGAGGCTGAATAAATGTGGTTTAATGTGTACCAGTGATTGCTCCTAACCCTTGTATATTTTCTGTTAATATCTTGCCATAGGCCTCTTCTTGGGAAATCAATAAGAAGCAGAGTCAAAACCTTGTACAGGAATGCCAGGCTTTGATTGAAGTTGAAACTAGCAACAGCGATTATCCAGATATAATCCTGGTGAGATAAATTTCATAGGCTAAATGGCACCTTGAGATTGATTCACATTCATGAAGATTAGAGGAATTCAAGAAGCATGTCATATTAGTACCTCAAAGTAACTGAAACATTTAATTAAATAACCTAGTTTTTAGGTGAAGAAACAAGACTCAGAAAAGTTAGTTACATATCCAAGGCTATAGAAACGAATGAAAATAGAACTGGGGTTTGTATGTCCTGACCACTAATCCATGATGCTTTTCATTTTAATTGTCATGGTGAGAAAGTTTAATAGTATGCAAATCCATATAAATGATATGTATATGTATATAACTTGAAGGTCAGCCTGAAACCTATATGCCCAAATCCAAAGCATATGACCTTTTCTGTAATTTATAATATGGATCCCCACCGGAAAGTGTAATTCTCAATTGACTTACTTAGGCCACTGCCAAAAGCCCTAGAGAAGTCTATTCAAGAAATACAGATGTATTTCTGTTTACTCAAGAAATCAGATGTATCCCTGATTCTAACGTTGGTAGTCACTATCTAAGAGCTTTGTATCTGACTGTCCTGTAGATCCCAGCAGACTCACTTTGCCTCACTGATGCAAGTGTGAAAGAAAGCCTTTGGTATTTAGGAAGAATTGACTCAAGGACTGGCCATGTGAGGAACACTGCATCTGTGAAGCCACGTTAAAGACGTTGTCCAGTATGCTGTTTAGTGTTCTTTGCGCTGTAATTTAAAACTTCATTTAGACATTAGAATTTCATGTCAGGAAAAAATCTATTTGGTGCTTCCTTTTATTAGAATATGAATTGTATTGCTCACTATAGTGAGTTCTCTTTTTACTTTGACCATCAAGTAGCTTATAGCTAAACGTTAAATAAGAATAACTATAGTCACCTAAATGGTTGCTGTCTGTTGACATGATAATATAAGGGAGAGTATTTAGAAAGGGGCCTGGCCTTGCCAGGGTAGCTCAGTCGGTTAAGTGTCGGACTCTTGATTTTGGCTCAGGTCATGATCTTAGGGTCGTGAGATCGAGCCCTGTGTCGTGCTCCATGCTGGGTGTGGACCCTGCTTAAGATCCTCACTCTCTGCCCCCCTCCCCAGTGCACATGTGCGTTCTCTTTCTCCCCCCCCACCCTCCAAAAAAGAAAGGGGCCTGGTCTCATTGTACCTGTCTTTAGGTGAGATATCTCAGAATGCTATTTGGAATTGTGGATTAGGTTTTATTTACCAGCAAGCCAATAAAGACCATATGTCTTCTGACTTAGGCCTAATGTCTGTGCCCATCAGCAGAAAATCATTGTCAGAAGGCACACAGTATAACAGTAATGGAGGTTTTATTTAAAAAATTTTTTTCATGATGAAATATTTCAAACCTAGTACCATCAACTCCTGTGTGCCCATTTCCCAGCTCCACAGGGACCAACTCACGGCCAGTCTTGTCTCATCCACGTTCCCTGCCTGCCCCCTTACTCCCAGGCATCACACGGCTTCTTCCATAAACTGTAATTATGTTAAGAGGCCATCTGAAGGGATGTTGAGAAGGTCTAGGAGTCATTTGTGAAAGGGAGCAGGAAAAAACCTTCGTAGTGACAAAAAGGAACAAGTAAATCCAGGATGTGAAGAAAGGAAACACCAAAGTATTTTTCAAAAGGAAAAGAGTCAAAATTTAATCAGCAACCAGAAAGGAAGAGGAAATGCAACTAGTATTGTAGAGAACATGATGTCGCTGCCCCCGTGAGCCATGTCAGTCCCCACCTGCTTTCTAGAATCCTGTCGGTCTTTCACATAGCCCTCCCTCTGTCCCCTCCCTAAGCTTTGCATACAGCTTTTAGCGAGGACTTTTTCATAAATTACGTATGACATTTATATTAAAATTGTTGTCTTTTTATGTAATAGTTCTCAAGTTTTATGTTACTTGTGTGTGTGTTGGCGGGGCTAGGATTTATTTGTGCCCCATTGATCCTCGTGGGAAGTCTGTTCTCAGACTCAGGGTGCCTGATTTATTTCGATAAATATGAATTATCCACAGATGCACATTAATTTCTGTGTTTGGCTGTAGTTGCAGTAATCCAGTAGGAAATAATTGCTTCTGAGTGTTTGTACTTTCTTAAACTCATAAATTAAAAAATAATTCTTCTTAACCCCTAGCCTTCTACCCAATTCTTCTCTCCCTATAGTGCTTCCATTGTGTGTGTCTGTGCACATGCTTTAATTCTGACTCCGTGCCTGTCTCATTTAAAGAAGGAAGGCACTCAGGACCAACGGTGCTGCGAGAGGTTATCACTTAAAGAAACAGAATTAGCTACTACACTGACACTTCTCATCTCCCCGCAGCCGGGTGGTTTTTATTATTTTGGTGAACTTCCTGGGGCCCAGGGCCTTATTTTCAAGTGTAATAGGCTGAGAAATACAGGTTCAGCACATCAAAGAAAGCCCACCTCACAGGGATGATTTTACATTATCCAAACTGATGGGACCGTTGCATAATATCGTAATAGCGGTTGGGTCATTTGAAAGATAAATAGAGCCTCCGTCCAGTTGGAAGGCACATGCTGACTTACACCGTGCATTCTCCCCCTTTGTGCCAATCTGCGTGGGCTGGCCAATTCTGGTCTGACAGTTGCTGGTGAGTTATGTGCCTGCATATTTACAAGGTTTCCAGCTAAGACAGGCTGCCGTGTCGCCCTCCCCCTAAAGCGTGACAGTGATGATGTTACCCACATGACTGGCTATACCACTAAACGGGGCACTGGCCCAGCACCCAGGCCCTGTTCCACCTGTGCTCCTAGGAGTGTATCTTTCTCATGTTGAATGGAGAACGAGTCCGTTCCTTTAAGCGCCTGCTTTCCTTTGCTGTGTCTGTCCGTCTGCCTTTTGAACGGATTTTTTTTTTTCATAGCGGTGTACTTCATTTTTCTCTTTTCCAAGTTCCGGGCACACCTCCCTCGGGCTGTGCTACATTTGTGCAACTTCGCCTGAAATGATGAGAGTATTGATGGCTGTTCAGATCTCTCTTGAATCTGACCACTGCTGGTGACTGCTGGTTATCATTCATTCTCCCAGATCATCTTGTCTGCTGTGGCTCAGGGTTACAGCAGTTGGACCTGTCTTCCTAAGTTCCTCCTCCTCCCATTCCACCCCATTCTCGACTGAATGTTCTTCATATTCTTTTCTCCCCAAGGCCTATGGTCTATGAAAGCTATTTTTTTAAAAAGATTATTTATTTATTTATTTATTTATTTATTTATTTATTTATTTGACAGAGAGAGACATAGCGAGAGAGGGAACACAAGCAGGGGGAGTGGGAGAAGGAGAAGCAGGCTTCCCGCCGAGCAGGGAGCCCGATGCGGGGCTCGATCCCAGGACCCCGGGATCATGACCCGAGCCAAAGGCAGACGCTTTATGACTGAGCCACCCAGGCGCCCCTGAAAGCTGTTTTTTAAGAAAAACATATTCTTTAGTTTTATTTCTTTTCTCATTGAGATAATGCTCAATTCTCTAGTCATTTTTAAGGTTTGTCTTTTTTGTTCTACACCGTGTCTCACACTCAGCATGCTCCAGGATCATCCATGTGGCACTGGGCTTCATTTTCCTTTTCTCCAGTTGCTTCTGATCCCATAGTTTGCTGGTGTTGCCGCTGGCATTTTTTTTTCCTTCTTGATATTAATTTCTGCCTGGCCTTCTAGCCAGCACGGTCCATTCATTTTCAAAGTCCATGCAGTGAGAGTGTTCTTGGTCAGACCTTGCATGTCATTTGGCACCATGGAAGTCCCCAACGGGGACTCAGTTAAAACTCTAGGCATTTTCTAGAGATTAAAAAACTGTCATGAAAATAATGAGGAGTTTTTAAAGAACATCTTAAACCTCTTCAAAATGCCCTAGGTAGCCTCCCCGTTGGACCCTTGGAGACATTACGTGTGGGGCTATCCGTTTGCACTGCAGCAAACTTCTTTCGTTATTTTTCATGATCTCGTTAGCACAGGTATTGCCCCCCCTACCCCTTAAGGGGAACTGATGTGATCCAGATTTATTATCTCTGACCCTGTAAAACTTTATTCTGAAATTCTTCTGTGTGTGTTCCTGTGTATGTGTGTGTTAGTGGGGTGAGCCTTTCCTCTTTCTTTGTGGCCATGATGAAATTCAGGTACTGTGCTTCACGTGTATCATCTCATCTGATTTTTCTGAATTTAACCTGAGGGGTTAAATTCTCTTTTCATCCCCATCTTACAGGTGAGGAAGATAAACTTGCTCAGGGTCACACTGCCAGGAAGTGGTCACCTTGAACCCGAGCTGTTGAGCTTGACCTCCCACTTTTTTAACCTCGTCTCCTTATGACTTCTCCCTTTATCTTCCATCTCCCTGCACTGTCCTCCATGTCTGTTCACCCAGAGCATTCCACACAGGTTGGTTGGAGTACACAGACTTTACTCAGGGGCAAGAATTTCAAGGTACAAATAGATACCGCATTGAATAACATTCAGCATTTTGGCTTTGGTTTCCTAAATTCCGTAGATGGGCCTTCTCCAGGCAAGAATCTTGAATTCATTTTAAAAAATCAGTCCATAGTCCTTGCCCACATTAAGCTAACTTCCCTTTAGCTCATGTCTCCCCTTATCCACCCTAAATCTGACCTATCCAATAAAGTTTCATCTTCCATGTTCAAAACACATACCCTACCCTCTCTGATTCTGGACTCTTTCTGTCTCAGGCATTTCCAAACCCATGTGTAAAGTTCAGATTTGTCCCCGTTAACCCCAGATGGGAAGGAAGTAGAAATTCTTTTAGGTCACCCCCTGTAGATGCACCAGCCTCTGTTGGGGGATCAATGTCTGAGTGAAGGGATCGGAGTGGGTACCCATGGGGCTGAAGATTTGAAGTTCCAGCAAACCCTGCAAGTGTCGCGATGTCCGTTGGAAGCAAACTGGAGCAAAGGTGGAAAGTTAGGGCTGGTGATGTTGATCAGGCCATTGTTTGCATACGGGGAATGGTTGGACCCCTGAAATTTTAATAGGTTTGTTGAGGGATTAAGTGTGGGCAGAAAAATAAAGATCCTGGGAGATTTGGGACACAGAAGGTTATAGAATTCAAGGGAAGAAGGAGCAGCGAGAGACTTCTTCATGCTTCCTCATCTCAATAAATGGCACCACCATTCACAGCTACTCAGGCCCCAGCCTAGGAGGCGTCCTGAATTCCTCTCCTTCTTTCACACCCGGCACTCAACCTGTCAGCCAGTCCTGCCCAATCAACCTTTGAACGTATACCCTGTGTTTCCACAGCTGCCACCCTGGCGAATTCACCAACATCTCTCGTCAGGGCTACAGCAATAGCCCTGTAAATGATCTCACTGCTTCTGTTGGCATCCACAGTCGAAAAATCTGTTTCATCTAAAAGATAGGTCATGCCATTCTCCTACTCAGAACCCTCCGATGGCTTCTGCTCACACTTCGACCAGAATTCAGCGTCCTTGCTGTGCCCTCCAAGGCCCTAGGTGACCTGGCCTTGACCTCTTTTGAGTTCTTATCCTCATCCCTTCTTTCTCTTCACTGTGGCCACCCTGGACTTCCTTGGCCTCCAGCAGCCCGAGCTTATTTTTGCTTCCCTGACTTTTCCTTGGATGTTTGTAATGCCTGGATTCTCCTCCCCCCAGCCCCCAGCAACACGTATGTCTGGTCAGGACTTTCTGTGATTCTGTGAGTAAACTGAGTGTCCGTTACTGTCGTCGACACTGGAGATACCACAAGAAGATGCTCCCTGTCCTCGTGGTGCTTCCATTCCAGTCAGGGAACCAGACCCCAGACAAGACTAATAAGTAAACTGTGTTGCAGGATAGATGGTGGCAAGGGCTCAGGAGGAAAGGAAAGCAGACGAAAGGGGGAGGAAGCATGGTGAGGCTGAGTGAGTACAGTTCTGTATAGAGTTGGCATGAAAGGCCCAGCTGAAGGGTATGTAAAGAAAAACTAGAAAAAAGTTGGAGGAACAAGCAAACCAACAGCAAACAAACCTAACCTTGAGAGAGGAGGGCACCTGGCATGGTTGTGAAGTGGGTAGAGAGGAGGAGGCATGGAGGGTGCGGGGACTTAGGCTGTTCTCGGTCTCTTACCTGTGTTACTTCTCTTCGCAGAACTTAACACCACCTGACATCACATCACATATCCATCTTTTTATTTACTTAACATCTATTTTTCCCTCACTCCATAAAGGCGGGACTTTGTATTCTTTATCAGAACAGCGTCTGACCCATACTGGGAACTCAATTTTAGGGAATAAATTTATGGATGAGAGGGGAGCCTGGAACATAACGTTCACTGTGGAAGAGTGAAAACAGAGAGGCCCTTTGAGTTTGGCAGGAAGGCGTTACTGGTCTGGTAGCCTTTTTGGGTCCTTGATAATAATAAAGGTGGAGACAGAGGGGCAAAGAAATAGAAGGAAAGAAAGCAGGTAAAGTGATACCAACCAGTTTTTAACGCATCCTTAACAACAGCTGAATTAGAGAAGTGCTACGCAGCTGACTGTGGTATGTTTCTTTTCCCCTCTCTCTAACTTATTTATGATTTATTTATCCTCTTAAATAGATACTTCACAAAATTGAGCTTGTGGTATTATGCTGATCCATTGCATCCCTTGGAGAACTGACAAATCCCGCTCTGCTCATTGTTAACATAATTTTAATTAAGGTATCTAAAACCGCATGTTAAAACTTGACTATAATCTCATTTACTGTGTGGGAGGTGTTATCTATTTCATGACTGAGGTAAAATCTTAGGGAAGAGATATCCCCAAACTGCAGAGTATGAAACACAGTTAAGCCTAAGAGACAAGAACACTTCTGTAATGAAATGAAGTAATGTATATGAAAGAGCGTTGTAAGCAGTATCAAAATATACAAATAGTGTCATCGAAAAGACAGCTGTATGTCTTGTTGTCTCAGCTTGAAAAAATTCAGACCTTCAAAGCCACAAGTATATTGTGGTAGAAAAGAGCATCCTATGAACTCAGATATTTACAGTGTTATTTAAAAGGGAATACTGTGCATTGTTTATCCAAAATCTTTTAAACACCTGTATGCCAAAGAATAAAGAAGATACAGGAAAGGAAAAGAAGATAATCTCTCCTGCAATTTAGATGGGAAAGCTTTGTGTAAGTACCATTTCTGGAGTGAGAGAACACAGCTGACTCTCATGGAAACAACCTCTATAAGGCATGGCTCAAAGCAGAGAAGTAAACAAAAAAATGCAAAAACAGTTAATTTCATGAGGCTGTGCTAATAACACCACCAACAAAAGTTCCTACTGAGAGTGCTGTCATTTTGGTTAATCTTGGATGCTTCCATCTTGTCTGATTTTTTTTTTTTTTTTAGATTTTATTTATTTTTATCTTGAGAGAGAGAGAGCACAAGAGGGGGGAGCGGGAGAGGGAGAAGCAGACTCCCTGCCGAGCAGGGAGCCCGATGCGGGACTCGATCCCGGGACTCCAGGATCATGACCTGAGCCGAAGGCAGTCGCTTAACCCACTGAGCCACCCAGGCACCCTAAAAATAAGTTTCTTTTATTTAAAGATTTTATTTATTTATTTGAGAGAGAGAATGAGAGACAGCACGAGAGGGAAGCGGGTCAGAGGGAGAAGCAGACCCCCCGCCAAGTAGGGAGCCTGATGCAGGACTGGATCCAGGGACTCCAGGATCATGACCTGAGCCAAAGGCAGTCGCTTAACCCACTGAGCCACCCAGGCGCCCTAAAAATAAGTTTCTTTTATTTAAAGATTTTATTTATTTATTTGAGAGAGAGAATGAGATAGAGAGCATGAGAGGGGGGAGGGTCAGAGGGAGAAGCAGACTCCCCGCCGAGCAGGGAGCCCAATGCGGGACTCGATCCAGGGACTCCAGGATCATGACCTGAGCCGAAGGCAGTCGCTTAACCCACTGAGCCACCCAGGCGCCCCAAAAACATTCCATCTTGTCTGATTTTTATCACAAGGAAGAGTTACCAAAGAAAAGGAACACATTCTGAGCTGGATCATCATGGATTACAACAAAGTGGTTGTAACTAAAGGCATTAAATAGCTCCTCTCGTCAGCTTATCTTGTGGTTCCTGTTAACTGCTGTGGGAAAGAGTCTGTGCTGCTTATAAACTGGTCAAGAAATATTTAGTTCGAAGTTAGAGGCACTTAAGGCATGTGGATTTCCTGTATGTATCAGCATATTAGAAGAAAACTAAGTTTTATGATATATCAGAGAGAAATAAGATGTACATTGTTAAGGTCATTTTGCAAAATGAACTTTAAAAAATACATGCGTTTTATTTACTTCTGGGGAGGAATTTATTTACAGTATAAGTACAAAACTATTCTGAAATGAACAAAGCAGCTTAGCATCAGTTTTTTTTTTTGAGATTTTTATTTATTTATTTGAGAGAGAGTATGTGTGTGCACAAGAGTGGGGTGAGGGGCAGAGGGAAAAGCAGGCTTCCTGCTGAGCAAGGAGCCTGATGCAGGGCTCGATCCCAGGACCCTGGGACCATGAGCTGAGCCAAAGGCAGATGCTTAACCGACTGAGCCACCCAGGTGCCCCAGCATCAGTTTTATTTCCGCCTACCTAACAAGACTTTCCTTGTTATGGCTTTGAGTGAAACAGGAGCAGCAGTGATTGACAGCTGTCAGGTCTTTTGTTGCTAGGCTACATGTGTGCCCATTTAACCTGCTTCCTGACGGAGCACAGTTTCTAGAATGCCGTGTAAAATATATGCCTGTGTTTCCTGGGAGGGGAGAAAAAGAGAGGTGATCGCCTCTCCCTCCCACGTTTGTTTAGCAGGGCACAGCGGGCTTGAAAGGTGAAGGGTACAGACACAGTGGGCAAGCTCCAGAGAACCCACAGCTCCGCGCCTTCCCCCAGGTCATAGAAGTGGGGAACACGGTTGTATCTCAGCGCATGTTGAAGGGTCTTCGGGTCAGGGAGCTCTTGCCTTACCCCTGCCTTCTCCATTTCTGTTTTTTACTGCCTGTTCCTCCACCTTTTCACAGATTTACAAAATACACAAAGGGAACATTCTAGGTCCATTTTCCTGAAGGGTGTGAACTAACTCTCTTTCTCTCTCTCTGATCTAAAGAAATACATTTCCAAAATGTAAGTTGGTTTTGTGTGAGCCTTGCAAGATGGGTCTTCAGGCTTCCCAAAGCTGTGGTAGACATGGCTTCTGGATGGCACATTCCCCCCACCCCCCAGCTCTTCCAACCTCCACTTCCGCCCACCCACCCAGACATCACACACACACACACACACACACACACTCACTCACTCTCAGGGGCCACCAGCCCTCTTGGCTCCTGCATTCAACACATTAAGGCTCTGTAACCCCTTTTAGGCAGATCTCCTGCGATTTTATCAAAAGATAAGGTGTCCCAACCTTGTCCCCTGGTTGGCCCAGGTACACTCCCCATCCCTATCCTTGTCTTCTTCCCCATCATGCTGTGGGGCCTCAGGCCCCAGGCCCCAACCTCCCCAAGGTTTTCATTGCGCTGATGTTGAGCTCATGCTCCATGTCTCCTCTGTATCGACCACCAGTGTGATAACCCTCCTCAAAACAGCACAGGTTCCATGGTTGCTCCTGGTGAATCAAATACCTGGCTCATTTGTTGGAGTCATGGTTACATCCACATAAGATACGGATTTTTAAAAATACCTGTACAAATATTGATAGAAGTACAAAAATCCTGATAAATGGTAAAAGTAAATATGACAATTATGACGTAAACTTCCTTGAGATGCACATCAATATTCTTTTCTATAATGCACACAATTACTTTGTCTCCCTTCATAACATGCATAAACTCTACTTCTCTCCTCTCTCTCTGATATGGCCACTGATACTCAGGTCATTTCGCACCCTATAATGTAGCTTATATTTTTGTGCAGCTTTAAGTAAACAGCTTATTTTTCAGGTTTTAGATAAAAGTGACACTGAGGTCTCATTGAAACAAGAAAAAAAGGAAGTTTCTCTTATGAAAAAAGGTAAAAAAAATTCAGTTTACCTATATTAGCTGTGATGTTTGAGTTGTTTTCAATATGACTAACGTGGCACATCTGATGTGGGATATAGATCAGAAGTTTGGTAGCAATTTGGATTTTTAAAAGTTAAAATATGTTGTTCCAGAAGTGGGAGGAGGGCTGGGTGGAGAGTGAGCTGCCAATCCCGTGTGTTTTGGAAGAGCCAAGAGACACTCCCTTCCCAAGGAGAGTCCCCCCAGCTCCACCACACACGGCCTGACATCTCCAGCAGTAGACTTGGACCACTCTCTGTGTTGAATTCTGTTTCGAAATTTGCAGTAGATTGATATGAGCTCTTTTATTCAGACTGTATTTTGAAAATTATGATGACAGTTCTCTATCTTCAATTATGTAGTCCTTTTCCTGCTTTTCCTGATTCCCCATAGACCAGTTCACCAACATATCCATTAGTTCCTTTATCCCCATGGGACATCTTTTGTCTCAAGTGAGAGACGAGCTTTTTTTAAACTTAGAGTTGCCATCTTATAATATTCAATCCAAAACCGATTTCTTTGGTTAGAGAAGCTGGAAGCAAACTGGACTCAAAATTTTGTTTTCTTAGTGTCCATTCATTATTATGACCAACCCCTTTATTATGTGTTATATTATTATTATCATACCATTCTCTCTTTTATTTTAATATTCTACCATTGGGCCTGAGCAGCAAGCCCATCATTTTCATGGTCTTCCTCTTATTCTGAAATAAGTTCTAAAGTTTTTCTTAGCCTCTTTGACAAGCCTCAGCTCCTTTTGGCTTCATCATTCCCAGTCCTTGTATTGGTCCATGGCATCACTCTGTGCTCACTTTTGGTCATAAGCTCTCCCTTCATACTTTGTTATTCAGGTAACCTAATCAGCCATCCATGCACATCTTTATATTTGAGCCCATTAGTGAGGTCCCTAAGAAATCACAGTTTTTTATTTCTCATCTTAATTAGGATAATTTGCAATTCCACAGTCAGTATTTCTTTTGTAAGGCTTTCTTAATCTTAAAGCCAGTCTTTTATAGAAGTTTTAAAGTATTAACAGGATTTCAAGTACATGCCTGTTGGATTTCCAAATCGTAATGGAAAAATTGTTAATACAATTTTGATCCTAAAATTAATATTTAATTTCAAATATTCATCCTTGGTTTGGAAAGAACAAATTGTGAAATGATTTTAAATGACTGTAATTATAGATTAGTTGGCCGTTGGGCTAAAAAAATTTCACTTTGTATGCAAGCCAATGAGTAAAACCAGTAGCACCTGCAGTATGCTTAGAAAACCTCTGTTTTCTCTTTTATATATATACCTAAAGGAGTCAGATCCTCAGCCATTCACCCACCATCCAAAACTTCCTTTGTCGCTGTGCTATTCCATTTGGCCTTTGATGGCCCTCAACTTGTTGGCAAGGGTTTACTTGGTGGAATAAGATATGTGGACAGTTACCACAATGAATTCTAGAGACAGGTGGAAGAATGACACATTGACTTATTGCGTCTACTGCCTCCAAGACACTCTTAAAGCCAATCCAGGGAGTCAGAGCATTTCTACTCTTCTGTGAACTGTAACGGATCACTAACCTCTCTGAACATACAATAATGAGGTTCCCTCAGTGAGAAGGTTGACTAGATGACACCAGGTCTCTTCCTGCTTTAAAGTTCGACTCTCTACTAGAGACATGTTTGGGGTTGGGATTCTGTTAGGATGCTTTTGAACTGGAACCTAAAATGGAATAGAATGGGATTCCAGGGGGAAGACAGGAGGTTGTCTGGGCAGAGTCTGGTGAGAGAAGGGAATCTGACGGCCCCAAGCAGTCACCCCATGCACACCAGTCACAGATAATAAGCATCATGAAAAAGAACTTACAAAAAAACAAGTTACAAAGGCTCTTGGATTATTAGATACACCATCTACACTTTATTAAAAGGTTATTATAAGTTGCATAAAGAACATATTGGTGCATTTTTTACAAGAGGATGTTTGGAATACAAAGCCAAATTATCTATAAGTAGTTAATAAACTGCCGACACTTCTTTCAGTTTACGTTACTGTGTGATCATCAAAATGTGATTGTCTTCATTTTGTCTGTCTTTTGAAGAAAAACAGGAGCCATGTAGTGATACTCCAGAAATAAAGAGAAACTCTTCATTACCTAACCGGGAAAGGTGAGTGTACTGCAATTACATAAATTCTAAGTGGGTGCAATTATACTGTTGCAAAGTAATTATCAATGTTTAAATACAAGAAGAAAGAAAATAATAGCAACAAGCAAAGGCAATTAAGAATGGAACCAAATTTACAAAGGAGACAAGAAAGAATAGAATACGGCTAGGTTTCTTACCTTTTTCCCAAACCTTTTTATTTTCTTTTGTGAGGATTTGGAGATAATGAAATGGAACAGGCTTAACTTCCTACTCACAGTGAGCAACTAATTCAAATTACTGTAATGTAGTCAAAGAACTGAAAATGTCATATATGTATAAGGTGTGAATATGCAATCAGGAATCTGTTTTTTTGTGTGGCTCATTATCTTATTGTTATACATATATGTAATATGATAATTATTGCATGCTAGAATTTTCTTGACATGAGACTTTTGTCACTTTTAACATAAAATCAGCTGAATATTTTGGATGCCCAATAAAACAAAGAATGTTTTCAAGGAAGCAAACTCTTACCCTCACTTAGACAAACTTGTCAAAGGTGCTTTCCAGGCATTTAGACCCAGTGTCTATGAATCCAAATCTTGGGCTCTTTCTGCATAAGAGCACATTGAATTGAGTGTCGGAAAAAACAGAGAGGAGTTTGATTTTCTGCACTTGCTGACAGAGGAGTCCCTCTGATACTCAAATCCCCTCACTTCACTGTTCTACTCAGAAGCCTCTCATGGCCCCATCGCTTGCAGGATAAGTTACAAATTCCTTAGCACGGCGCAAGTCCCCTTCACTCCTGACCCTTCCTGGAGCTCCCACTTTGTTTCCCAGAATTTCTGAGTTGCTTTGGGTCCTGTTTTATCACACTTGCATCTCTGTCCACACTGCTTCCTTTGCCCTCTGCAAGCTGTACACCACTCTACTACTCTTTCCTTCAAGTTCGAGTTCAAGTGTTCTCTCCTCTGGGGCCCCCAACTCTCACAGGCAAGCTCAAGGTTTCAGAGAGCCACTGATGCAGTGATCAGAGTGGTCATAACTCCTTCAACTCCAGTAGTTATCTGTTAGGGGCGCTTGAGTGGCTCAGTCATTTAAGCAACTGCCTTCAGCTCAGGTCATGATCCCAGGGTCCTGGGATCGAACCCCACATCAGGCTCTCCACTCAGCAGGGGGTCTGCTTCTCCCTCTCTGGAGATCTGTGATCTCTCCCACTTTCACTCTCTCTCAAATAAATAAAATCTTTAAAAAATTATCTGTTAAATATCAGCTGTATTCTGATCATTGTCAAGTGGAATTGTCCGTCTGAAAGTCTGTCTTCCCATAAGGACGGGGGCCGTATCTTTTCTTCATCATAACTCCAGGTGTCTGAGAGGTCTTCCCATAGTACTCCATCTAAAATAGCCTGTCCCATTCCTGATAAGGCACACTATCAGATCTTAGCATCCTGCATGGTTTTTTTCAGAGTACTTACTACTATTTTAAAGTATCTTATTGACTCATCTGTTTCTTTTAATGTGTTACATTCTAGCTTGCCTATTTTCTATCTTTTTCACTAGGAGCTAATTCCCTCCACAAGAACAAGGCTGTGTTGTCCACCTCTGTGTCATTAGTGTCCAGAATAGCAGAGTTAGTATATTTGTTGATTGACTAAATGAGGCAGTTTCCCCCTCATGTGGTTCCTGTGCCACTTTATGGACAGTGCTTTAACCTAGAGTTATTTATTAAAGTTTGAGTTAAAGTTTAAAATTCATCCAAAAACTAAAACACATTGTGTGTGTGTGTGTGTGTGTGTGTGTGTGTATTATATGTTGCTTTCAGGTTTGTATGAGGTTGTGTGTGTCTTTTTTTTTAAATCATCTTTGAATTGTATATACAACATGAAATGTTAGAACTGTGGTCCAATTAAAACTGTCTTTGTGGAAGAATCTTATCAAACTCATAGTGGTAGTGAGGATAAAGATGATCATAATAACAATAATAATTAGGTGCTATTTACTGAGCACTTCGTAAGTGTAGGGGTTGGGCTGAATTCTTTGTATGTCTTGTTTAATCCTCAGCACATCTCTGTGAGGTCGGCACTATTATTATTATTATTATTATTATTATTATTATTCTTTAGTACAATAGAAATTTATTTTTCTGAAGTAAAATAAGCCTGGAAAGAGCTGGTTTAGAGCTATCAAGTGAGGCACAGTGTCAGGGAGCCAGGGTCATTTCCAGTGCTTTTTTCTTTCTTTTTTTTTATTGTGTTAGGTTAGTCACCATACATTACATCATTAGTTTTTGATGTAGTGTTCCATGATTCATTGTTTGCATGTAACACCCAGTGCTCCATGCAATACATGCCCTCCTTAATACTCATCACCGGGCTAACCCATGCCCCTACCCCCCTTCCCTCTAAAACCCTCAATTTGTTTCTTGGAGTCCATAGTCTTTCATGGTTCGTCTCCCCCTCTGATTCCCTCCCCTTCATTTTTCCCTTCCTTCTCCTAATGACCTCCATGCTATTCCTTATGTTCCACAAATATGTGAAACTATATGATAATTGTCTTTCTCTGTTTGACTTATTTCACTTAGCATAATCTCCTCCAGTTCCATCCATGTTGATGTAAAAGTTGGGTATTCATCTTTTCTGATGGCTGAGTAATATTCCATTGTATATATGGACCACATCTTCTCTATCCATTCATGTGTTGAAGAGCATCTCGGCTCTTTCCACAGTTTGGCTATTGAGGACATTGCCTCTATGAACACTGGGGTGCATGTGGCCCTTCTTTTCACTACCTCTGTATCTTTGGGGTAAATACCCAATAGTGCAATTGCTTGGTCATTGGGTAGCTCTATTTTTAATTTTTTGAGGAACCTCCACACTGTTTTCCAAAGTGGCTGTACCAACTTGCATTCCCACCAACAGTGTAAGAGGGTTCCCCTTTCTCCACAACCTCTCCAACAATTGTTGTTTCTTGCCTTGTCAGTTTTTGTCATTCTAACTGGTGTAAGATGGTATCTCAATGTGGTTTTGATTTGAATTTCCCTGATGGCTAATGATGATGAACATTTTTTCATGTGTCTGTTAGCCATTTGTAGGTCTTCTTTGGAGAGGTGTCTGTTCATGTCTTCTACCCATTTTTTGATTTAATTATTTGTTTTTTGGGTGTTGAGTTTGAGAAGTTCTTTATAGATCTTGGATATCAGCCCTTTATCTGTAGTGTCATTTGCAAATATCCTCTCCCATTCTGTGGGTTGCCTCTTTGTTTTGTTGACTATTTCCTTTGCTGTGCAGAAGCTTTTTATCTTGATTAAGTCCCAAAAGTTCATTTTCACTTTCGTTTCCCTTTCCTTTGGAGGTCGGCACTATTATTATTTGGCAGGAAGAGAAACGGGTTCAGAGAGGACTCTGTGCTCAGGTGTAGTGCATTTTACCTTTTATCCCCCAGCGCCAGCATGATTTTTCAGCATCCCAAAAAATGATAAAAAAAGTTTTTAGAGGACTACTTTAATAAAATTTCAGCATAAAGGAAGTTACAGTTAATAGGCTTCAGATACTGTATAAATATTCTTTTTTTTTTTTAAGATTTTATTTATTTATTTGACAGAGAGAGCGAGAGAGCACAAGCAGGGGGAGCAGTAGAAGGAGAGGGAGAAGCAGGCTTCCCGCTGAGCAAGGAGCCCGATGCGGGGCTTGATCCCAGGACCCTGGGATCATGACCTGAGCCGAAGGCAGACGCTTAACCATCTGAGCCACCCAGGCGCCCCTGTATAAGTATTCTTTAAGAGACAAGCATTAGTTATAATGTTCTTAGCCTTAAATAAAATATCAACTGAAGTTAGGAGAATTAATGCCAAAAAGCTGTTGACAGTAGAAACACATTCTATTTGATATTAACTCTTGTCCAATTTTTAAATGACCCATACAGTATAAACATATAAAACTCTCCAGAGCTGTGGTCTTAACACTTAGCATGAAAGGATTACAAAAACCCCCTCCTTATTTGACAAGCAAATCCCTACGTGATCTGACCCCTACCTGCCTACACAGTTTTGTCTCCCAAATTGCAAGTCCCCCAGCCCTCCTGAATGTTTTTTGTTCCCACAATATTGAAAGCTTTGGGTCTCCTTAACACACTGCACGATTCTGAGCATCCTCATTGTGTGTTACTCTCCATGCTGCAGCCAGTTATCCTTTTAAAACATACAGCAGATCACCTTGCTTCCATGCAAGAAACCCTTCGGTGGTCGCGCCTGCTCTGCTTAGAATAAACTCCAGTTCCGGCCCCCGGCCCAGGGTACCAGCCCCCTCCCCACCCCCCACCTTCCCCGCACTCTCCACCCCAGGGGCCCTGCTTCATTTCTACCCAGGATCATTACACTTCGCCTGGAACACCCTTTTTTCTTCAGATCTTGACTAAATAGTTCTTTCAACTGACTTTGCCCCTTTTTGTTTTATTTCTGTATGTACCTTCCCCCAGGCTAACATAGAACTTTGGTTTAAAAGCCTCTTTCAGCAAATGAGACAAATGGTATGTGACTACCGTTGTTAAGAATACATTACTGCCAATTCTGTTTAATTGTGGCTCCCCCCAAAACCTTGAAACAAGATTTGTCAGGAATAAATAGTAATTTTTCTAGTTGAGAATGGATTTTCTGTAACTCCCTAAATGAGTTTTTAGCATGACATTTATGGCCTTGCTCTCATTTGTTGTGTATTAACAGTTCATTTGTCGTCTATTAATGTTTCCGAATTCATTGGTACCTAATACGATTCCTGCTTTGAAATTATAAGCCTCGGCTTGTTTTTGCGCAGCGCGCCGATGGAAGATTTAAGTCCAAGTCCTGGACACAACACCAGCTTCACTGTGAGTGGTTGTTGTCACATTGCTGCTTTACTGAAAGAGTCTTCTCAAAGCACATCTGTCAAGGAAACTGTAAGAAAACTGGCGTCTAATTTAAGGTAAAGATATTTGCTAACATATTTCCATGCGTTTTGTTGAACTTTCTAAGCAGTGACGACTCCTGGTCTTTTTTCTTTCCCCCCACCCATGGGGTGGTAAAGTTATCAAGAAGATTCCGTAGAATGACTTTATGACTTGTCTCCTAACTATACCACTGCAGATACACCACAGGTTAAATGTCTCTTGAAATAGAACCGCAGTCGCTAACTGCCTGTCCTCAGGCGGTCTGTCACGTGCTCTGGCAGTATGGGGGAATGTTAGTTCTCTCCTGGATGTTATGAAGAATTCTAACTGAATTTCTTCCTCCCGCCCTCCATGACTTCCTCTTTCGTTTTTTAGTTCTTTGGTTTTTGCCTGGCGAGGACCCTCATGACATTTGTAATGGCCTTCTGAAAAGTCTCCTTTTGTAGCTTTAGATACAAAACTTATCAAGGGAAATTGAGTTTTACTTTCTGGTTCAGTGTAGAAGGTTAACATTTGTGGGCAGGGTAAATGAGGGATTTAGATGTTTGGATCTCACTTCTCAAAGGATGCAGCTAGAGATGGAATAAAGTCCAGGATTCCAAATTTTTCCAACTAGGGACCAATGATAGGAGGCTTTACAATCAAGCCAAAGAAGTTAGTATACAGAAGAGTGCTCTAAAATAGGTAACAGAGGGAGAAGGAGGGGGCAGGAGCAGGAACACCACGGAATTAGTGGAGCCAGTTGGTTTGGTTAGGGTTCATAGCCTGTGAGTGTCCTGCGTTGTAAAATAAGAGGCTTTCGGCCAAGGAGAACACACCACATGCCCTGGTTAGAATCGTATTTTCCATGCGGACTGTGACTTTGACTTTCTAATCAGTGAGTGACTGCAAAAACTTCCTGAAGTAGAGAGTTGGCAAAGAATGGAATTAGAGAGTTGGCAAAGAGAAAGGTAACTACAACTTCTACTCAGGCCCAGGCTTTGGTCTTGTGTGTGAAAGGAGACTGCAAACCACTATAGGACTTGAACTCCATTCTGCAGTTGTCCTGGGCTTTATGGAAATTTCTGCAGCAACATCCAGGGCTGTGGGGCTCTGCATACATGGGCATGAAGGTCCCACCTATCCCTTAAAAACACAATCCCAGCATCTGTCCTGCCCTAGGAGAAAGGAGGAGGTACTCTTGGTTATATGTAGGTGGATCTGCTTGGACTTTGCATCAGGGCACATCTTCACTAATGATACTAGGGATCCAGAGACAAGTTGTTGACCAAGAAATGAAGCTGGAGTGATACATTTCTTAACACTTAAGTTTTGATCACTAAATCTGCCCTGGCACCTGAGTTGGCAAGCCTCCACTAGCCTGGGAATGGGATGGAAGCAGGTCAGACCTCAGTGTTGTACAGATGTTATGAAGTTGAAAAAGGCCACTAATCCAGTGATCTGGATGGATAATCAGTCTCATACTGACATGGTCTACAGTATAGTCCCTCAAGAATGGGATTCTCCAGCCAGTTTTGTCAGCATTTGTCCAGAAGTAATATGTAAGCTCCTCAGTTTTGAAGTAGGGTAACCATAGATTTGAATCCTGGTTTGTTCCTTACTGGTTCCAAGATTCAAGCATGTCAATTGAGCACTAAGACCGGGTGGTATGCAATAAATTATATATAGGAATGTGCCCACATGTCCAATGACTGGGATATTGCTTCTTGATAATAACAGCTATCATTTTTGAGCTGTTATTATATTTTAGGCTCACCCAAATATCATGTATATATTAGCTCCTTACTCCCACAAACTTATGAGGTTGATATTAGTCTTTTTTTTTAATGGATGAGGAAACTGAAGCTTAGAGAAATTAATACATCCAAAGTCACAATTACACAGCTACTAGGACAGGGCTGGGTTTTAGCCGAGGCTCCCTGATTTGTCGTCTCGTGCTCTGAACCACCCTATACACACACAGATGCAGGTGCATATACATACAGAAACGTATATATGTATGTGTATATATGTGTGTGTGTGTGTATGTATACATGTACACATTTTATCTCACACACACACACACACACACACCCTTCGCTGTTCTCCACACTGAGATCTGGAGGGCCTTATCTGGTTGTGTTGCAGCAGAGTTTGGGTGTGCCACTGTGTATCATCATTTTCCTAATTTTTTCCTTGGCTCATCTTTGTTCTGCATTTAAGTGTATCATTACTATTAATTTTAATGTTACGTGTGATCAAAAAGGGTATAATGTGATTGAGTGTACTAAGACATTAAAGTACATTCACTTCTATAATTAGGCATCACTAGAAAATTAAAATTTCCCGGAAACCATCTCCCTAATGAACATGTAGAATTTTTGGTGCTTGAAATCATCACGCTATTATCAACTGAACACTCTGAAAGCCAAATGTATTACTAAATCAGCTCTTTTTGGTACCGGCTTGCATTTTTTTGTGGTGATTGTTTTACAAAAATATTAAGTGGAAAAAGAATTGTACAGAACACAAAGCTTAACTGGAACACAATGAGCTCCTCATTTATCAATCTTCTCTTTCACCTTCAGCAGCATGCAGTATGTTTTCTCACATTTCACGGATGAAACCGATTTCTTGTCTTCTTTGTTGTTCTTACCCCCTGTGCTGCACTATTCTGTATCTGGTCCACGTGTTATTCCTTGTGTTAACTAGACTTCACATGTCTCGGGGCATGAGGATTGTGGCTGATTGTGTAGAACGTGGAGGGTTCCATGTGCTTTACACCGACCATCCCTCCCCAGATTTGCCTGGCTTGTCACACAAGAGAGTCGATAGAGCCCTTTCCCTCCACATGGTTCACTCTGGACATGACCTCAGCCTTATCCCTTTCCACACTGCCAAAGTAGAGTCCGGCCACTTCTGTTTATTTCATGTTAATGGAATAAATTAATAAAAATAGTAGCTTTCATTGTTCATTTTCATTACCTGATTATGCTCAGTTTAGTGTTTTCTGACTTATGTTACTTTTTGTTTTATGTGTATTAGTTTATTTAATCCCCAAATATAGTAACATCTTTGAAAACAGATTGGATTTTCCACACCCTGTCTAGCATATATTAGTAGGTATTCAAAGAATGCCTTTTTTTTTTGTTTTAGTAGCCTCCATGCCCAGTATGGAGCCCAATGCAGGGCTCGAACTCATGGCCCTAAGATCAAGACCTGAACTGAGATCAAGAGTCAGATGCTTAACTGACTGAGCCACCTAAGGGCCCCTCAAAGAATACTTTTAATAAAGTTGAGAGGGATTAATGTAAAATGCAGTGAGTAGTATTGCTGGATATTAAAATATTTTCAGATTATGGGGTATGACTGAGTTGTGTTAAGTCAGAGGTAGATGAGCTAAACTCAGATCCACACTGTTAAATTGTATTAGATGATCCTAATATTAGAGTAGTATTAAATCTCAATTCACTCTCAATAGTAATGATAATAATAATATGTATTTATTATGCACTTCCGGTGTACCAGGCACTGTCTTAAGGGCTTTGCATATGTTAACTCACTTAAACCTTTCAACAGCCCAGTAATTAGATTTTTATTATCCCCATTTTATGGATGAGAAAATTGATGTTAGTAGAGTTTGAGTAATCTGCCCAGCATTACATAACTCTTGGGTGGTAGAGCTGGAATTTCAATCCTGACCGTCTCATAGTCCTTGCTTTGAACTGCTAACCCTCGGACACCTTGTTTCAGTTCATTGTTGTGTGTGTAAACTTGATAATGAGGCAGACTTCATTTATTTCAACTCCGTAAAAGCCCAAACATGCTTTGTGTTAGCTTAAATTTTAAAAGTATCAAAAATAAGTTTTAAAAAGGAAGTCCCTCGTTACAGGTGGCTGCCAGTTACCAAAGCAAGAGAAAAGCCCACAAAAGTGAATACATGAGCAGTTGGGGGTCTGTCAAAAAACGTGATCTGATTCCAGGTTTTATGAAATTAAGCTATGCCATTTCTGTTCATCCTCATCTTTCTCTTTCACTGGGTTGGAGAAGAGAGTTTCAATCTACCTCAAGTAAGAGGCTTGCTCTTTTTCTTAGCTAAGACCAAGCTTATGAACTTGGTTACTTTTTAAAAAGAGCAGCCGGGTGACCAGGTACTTCTGTGTTTTACTGCTCATGTCTAGAGGGAATGGAGCTGTATTAATGCAAGTAGGAGATTTTTCTTAAGAAAAAGCTACTCTGTTGGGAAGGGAATAGGACTGGGGAGTGAAAAGGAAATGACCCTCAGCCGCAGCGCTTCCAAGCTTGGCCATCGCAGACAGAAACAGCGCTGACTCAGGGTTGTAGCTCACCTGGTTGAACTCTTTAAAAACTTCCAGATTGGACTTGCAGATTTGGGTATGGATTTTATAGGAATTCAGCTGAGATGGGCATCCGAGCAGAGGACCTCCTATAATCCTGGATGCTAGTAACAGCTCTGGAAGATCTTTAGGCTATTTCTTAAAGTCTTGAGAAGAGAGACAGTGTTAACCAAAGACATGTTCCTGATTTTATTATCAAGTCTGAGGGCAGAGCTGTGAGTAGATGCTCCAAGGGAAGAAGGGCTGTTCCTGTGCGACAAGAGTCCTGTTGAGAAGGTGGCGCGTGATTGACGAGTCCCCCACAGCACAGTATCCGTCTGACTCAGTGGCTACCGGTGAACAGACCCCACTTTATTCCTGCAGTTTGGTGCTGAGCGCCTCCTGGCACACTCCTGACAGTACCTTTCCTGGATTAGAGGATCACTCTGTCCTAAGGGAAACCTGAAGTTTGTGAGTGGAGGGAGGTTTGATACCTCCCAGGAACAAAAGAAGATACCGGCAAGGGATACCAGGCAAGAAAGGGACTCAAGACAATACATGAAGGAATTTTCTAAGAGTGCTTAACTACGTTCAGACCTTGCTTCTGCCATTTTTGGTGTCTTACAGTTTCCTAACAGCATCTAACAGTTTTTCTGAATTAATTTTTCAGGAAAAGGAAGAGGTCTATGTGTTTGTGCTTGGAGACCACAGGAGCTGTATAATTTGTCCTCTGTCTTGTAGGTCTTATGGGACGGAATCCCTGAGGGAAAAGCTAATTAGCAGCAGCTCTGGGGAAGAGAGAGTCAAAGGCAGAAAGCAGAGACCCTGGAGGGAGAGAGACAAAGGAGAGTGCACCTGCTAGGGCCTGTTGCGGGGGGGGCGGGGGAGAGGTCCTTAATCATTAGGAAACCAGAGAGGCTCAAAGTAAGAATAAGTCCTCAACCAAAGAGTTTCCATAAAGATGACTTGAAGTTACATATATCAAGCATATAGTAGCACTTAGGACACTTCCAGCACTTTATAAAGAGTGGTTGAATGTGACCAGGGGGCTCACTATTGCCAGAAAACACTTGTCCCCAGCATGTAGTGCAGTGGCCGGGAATGCATGCTTCATGCGCCCCCACCCTCCTGCCCCACAGCTGGCTAACTCCTCCTCCTCCTCCGGGGCTCCCCACGATGGGGAGGGCCCCTCATCTCGGTGCCCATAGCGCTGCGTTCCCATTCTCATCCCAGCATTTATCACCCTGTCCTAGAAAAGCTTGCTTCCCTGTCTGCATTCCCCATGAGGCTGAATTCCATGAAATAAGAACGTATGGGTTCCTAGCATGGGAGCAGATGCCAGGCTCTGGCAGGGGCCACTGGGTAAAAGCTATGTGGTGGTGGGGTTCAGGGACTATCTGGGGGACTACTGAGCTTGAGTGTATTGAGAAAATACAACATGGCAGAAGCTGTAAAACTTTTATATAAAGTTGTGTTTTATTTTAAAATGGTATCTAGCTTTAGAAATATTAGTATGTTTGTGTGAGAAATTATTTAGATGATAGATGATGTGTGGTGTAAATTCTGATGCAGAGATTGCCGAGGTTGAGAATAATTCAGAACTAATGTAGAACTTTTTTCTCCCCTAGCCTCCCCTTCACCCTCTCCCAGTCCCAACCCAGCGCTACCACCACCTGAAATGTGCTTCTCTGGAAGCACCTCCCCAGAAGATGGTTGATATGCTGTAAATCTAAACCCAAAAGCATTTATACCCACCCTGACAAGGACTGTTGCTCAGGAGAGGCTCGAACCGTGTGTTGAGGGAAGGGAGGCTGGATTTAGAGAGAGAAGGGGCTGGTTTGTGTAAAAGACCTCCTCGCTTCTGTCCCACCAAACCAGCCCTAGCAGTGACCACAGGTCACCTTTCCTCGGGACTCAACTTGTAGGTCTCTTCTCCATCCCATCTGATTTCTGCTCATCTCAAATGCCCAGAACTCACTCACCTTCTTACTAACTGGGTAAATAATTCTGAGGAGTGTGAGTGTGTGTGTGTGTGTGTGTGTGTGTGTGTGTTATATTTGACATTGTGTAGTGCTGAGGATTTTTAACGTTTGGATTGAATTTCCTTAAAACTATAAATGAATATTAAAACATAATATTCTTAAAAAACTCGGAATGTAAATTATGTAAGAAACAGCTATTTTATCTTTTGTGTGCCGTATTATTTTACAGTTGAAAAGTTTTGTAAATCCCTTGGATGATACACATGAGGTTCTTAGAACCCTTCAACACAAAAACACTCCATGCACTTTTAAGATAGAGTAGCTATAAATTTCTAGATTTCATATTCTCCCAGGAATGAGATATGTATCATCTGGGTGACTAATCCCAAAAAAGCTGTCACCCTACAAGGGCGGGGCGCTACTGCCTCTTGGCAAAATGAAGCACCTGTCAGAACAATGGCCAGTCACTGGAAAGAACAGGGTCCACGTATGATTTCTAAGAGTAGCAGCAGAGCCCCAGATGAAAGGAATTATTCTGGAGAATTGAATTCTTTGGCTTTCTTAGGGGAAAAAAAAGTCAGGAGACAGTGTCTTTCCTTCAGAAATTTTGCAATGCTAAGTTTTCTGCAAGGAGAACACTCAAGTAGGTGCAGGGCTTTTCTGGGCTGCTTGATTATGGATGGGCATTGTGAGCCCATGCCTGCTTTCTGCCTGCCCGCCTGCTTCCTTCCTTCCTCTCTCTCACTCTCATTTCTTTTCTTTTTTCTCTTCTCTTCTCTTTTCTTCTCTTCTTTTTTTTCTTTTCCTTTCCTTTCCTTTCTTTCTCTCTTTCTCTTTCTTTCTCCCTTCCTTTCCCTTCCTTTCTTTCCACTTTCGTTCTTCCTCTTTCTTCCTTTCTTTTTTAAATAAACTTTTAATTTTAAGGTAAGTATTGGTTCACAAGCAGTTGTAAGAAATAATATAGAGAGATGCCCTGTACCCTTTACCTGCTTTTCCCTGGTGGTAACGCTATCACAGGATGTTGGCGTGGACACAGTCAAGATACAGAACAGTCGCCTCACCCTGAAGATTCCGCCTGTTGCCTTTTTATAGCCACGCCCACTTCCCTTTCCCCAGTCTATGCTTCTTGGGGAAGACTTTGATGACGGGTTAAAACAGTTTGGTGGGCATGAATGTTCATCTTTGCCAAGATGTTTAACCCCCAGCAGTTCTGACAGGTGAGTGCTGCGTCCCTGTTCCTTGTATATGACCATCTCCGGTCTGCTCATATTCCTAGGGAGATTCTTCAGTACTTTTTCCCTCAATATCAGCTACCATCAGAATTTGGCTACACATCTGTGGAGGAACTTGCAGCAAGTTTTGAGGTAAGCCAGGTTTATTGGAACTTTGAGGGAATGACAGAATAGCCTGACCTTAATCTTCATTGAAGACACATTGTAAAGTGCTACCGGGAGGAGGACCTAGAATGGTTTAAGTGAATGAACATGGGGATCTTTATACCACATGGATGACTCAGAATGAAAACTGCATTTAAAACCAGTGTGGCCAAGGTTCAGATAAACTTTGGGAAGATCTTACAGACCGAGAACAGAAAGTTGCAGAGATGAAAAGAAACAGGACATGGTCCCTGACTTCCCTCCATGACACCAAAAATAGAGTTTCTATTGCTTGGATACATGTTCCTCAACCACTCGTTATGGGGGGCTGAGGTGAGGATTGGGTGGGTCAGCCATGTCAGGTGCCCAGAGCACTAGTCTTACTAAAATCATTAACACATCACAGGGAAAGATGAAGAAAATTCTATTTACCAAACCTCCTTTCAGGGACAGTGCCATATAGGATTAGAAAGAAAACTCTGTTCAGCTACCTGGGCTCATATGGGTTGTCTGCAGGCCGCTAAGTCACTGCAGCCTGTGGTGAGGCTGAGTGAGCTGTGCATGCCTGGGGCTGCCAGAAGGTGCTCCCTGAAGCCCAGAAGAACCTTGGGGTACAAGAGGGTGGGAGGATGCTTTCTCTGCCTTCATGCTCAGCATTGCTTGTGGAGAGGATGGATATACATGGAAAGGCTGTTAGTGAAAAGAACACCAAATAATTTGACAGAGGTGACTTATGCTTTAATCTGATCCCGGGGAGAAACCCTTAATTTTCTAATGTATAATTATGGTTTCTGCTCCCTCACCTTCTACCCTCACCTCCTCCTCCTCCCCCTCCCCATCTCCCTGCCAGGGTTCCAACCCTGTTACTTCCCTGGGACTGTCTTGTGAGGCCACCAGTGACCACTAGGCCGACAAATGCAGTGGTCACTCTTATCCTACCTGACCTCTGAGAGACTGGCCCAGTTTGACCACTTTTTTCTTCTTGAACCACTTTCTTTGTGTCGCTTCCATGACAACGCACTTCCCATTTTCTTGCTTTTCTTCCTCCCGTCTTTTCTGCTGGCAACTCAATTCCTTCTCTCTTTGGTTTCTAAATGTTGGCACGTCTGAGGGCCCATTCCTGGGCCATTTTCTTCTCTCTGTTAAGTGCTGTTTCTAGGTGACCTAGACAAGTCTGTGACTTTAAATACTATCCCATATGCCTGCAACTCCCCAGTCTTTTTCTGTGGTATTCCCATTCCAGAGACCCAGACTCCAGCTACCTTCTTGACATCCTCTTGAATAATCTTTGTCATTTACTTTTCCTTCACTTTTTTTTTCTTCTGCAATTGTTTAACCATGTTGTTTATTATGTAAACTGCCTTAATCTTTTTTTTTTTTTGGAATAAGGTGAGGTATACTTTAATTAATTTAATTGGACCCAGGCTTAAAAGACCCCAGTACCAATGTTGGCCAGTTCTAGGCTTTGATGGTTTTTTATACTAGATACTTGCACATTATAACTCCATTGTAGACAGCTCATTTTCTAAAAGCTAATATCCTGTCCTATTATTTACAAAAACAGCTGGAGCAATGCCCAGAGCAGACAAACAAAAAGCTGAGAATGTGCTTCAACCAGGTAAGCTTTTTAATGTTTTTTATAAATGTAGTCATTTATATTCTAAATGATCCCGTATTCCAAAGGAGAAATAATATACATTTCCAAATGTTAGGTTTGGAAGGAAATCAAATTTGTATTCTCTTACCGAGACTAAGATTAATGGGTAGCATATCAGATGTCACAAAGCAACATCTTTTTTGAATTTTAAAATGCAAATGTTTCCACAGCAAAAAGATTATGAAACACTGGGAGTAGGACTATATTTTGAACAGAATATATGATGTTCGGTGTCTTTAAGAAATAGGTTAAGTCCTTGAGACACTGGACTAAACCAGAAATCATTTGCAGATTAGAGTTTTTAATTATTTTGGAGTTTGATATCTCCGGGGGGTTTTTTGGTTTGTTTGTTTTTTTTTGTTTTTTAGTATCCTGTCAACAGTTTTTTAAGTTTATGATTTTTCCATTATAAAAGTAGTTATAAAAACAATTAATACTACTAAAAGTACTTATGCTTACAGCCATCTTCTGGAAAACTAAAAATAACATGCAAACCTATAAAGACTAGGAGGTGCGTGGTGACCCCTGGAATCATGGGAAGCAGAAACAGAAAGAAGGGCACCGCCTCATCTCTTTTGTAGGGAATGGAATAGATTTGGATATTCTTGTTTCATAAGTGAAATAGAACTACGAAGTAAGTTCCCAAAGATATATAACCAGACAAACTTGAGATGAAAATTAGAACGTAAACCAGACTCCTCCTTAGAAAGGCTGCATCACAAAGTATTTGAAGTGTAGGATGTGCCTAAATTTCACAGCCTTGTCGATATATTTGCCTTTGATGTTTCTGAATGGGTGCCTACTGGACTGTGATAAACAGATGGAAATGAAGGTTTCCCATCCCTGTTCAACTGAAGAGTGAGTTTATTTCCTGAATAATGTCCATTGAAAAGGAGTCACTGAACATTTTCAGCCTTGAAGACGTGCTTGTCCACATTTCCTAACTAGATTACAGGACAAAGTTTTCATTCAATATATTTTTGATCCTATTTCTAGCACTATATTATTTTCATCCATGAATGTAAAGCAGGGATTGATCAAGGCCCAGTAGAGGTAGACACTAAACTAAACTTTTATATAAGCCAATACCTCATTAACCCTCAAAACATTGGGAGGTAGATGCCACTATCTTATGTTAGTAATGAGGAATGAGAGAGTCAGCAAGGTAATAGTCAGTGTCATGATACAAGTAAGTAACAGTTTCAGGATTGGAACCCAGATGTGTCCCACTCCATGCTCGTTCTCTGCATCACTGTCTTCCATCTTCCCTTTACCCAGACTGTGCTCCTTCATCCTGTGACAGGGTCTGCGTGTGTAACTTGCCGTACATATACCACAGCTTCTCATCCTTTTGGTGTAAAAGAATTATTGTTTACTTACTAGAGACCTTGATGTGGCATGATGAGATGCGTATGGGGGGCTGCTGACAGTGGAATGGGGGGGTGTGTGGTGGGCAGGTTGTTTAGTGTCCCACCAGGAATTGTCCCAACTGGAAGTCTGTGGCAGCCAGTTCCAAGAATTACTAGTCAGGCTCCTGGATCTTCCCATAGATCTTCATTTACTGGTTAGGGATCTCTGACTTAAGTACTTAACACCATGAAACTTAGAAATTTGCGAAGAATTAGGTTGTCACGCACCTTAGTTTATCCAGGCTTATGTGTGTCTTTCACGTCTGTTCCTAAGTGATATTTTTCTAGTATCTGTATGATCAGTAATGGAGCCAGACTGTGTTAGGGTTCTGGAGACCAGACTGAATAAGGGAAGTATTTACACAAGGTGAACCATGTTAGCAGAAGTGATGAGTAGAATCCTCTTAGTGTTTAGGGCAAGTGGAATTCAAAGAATCAAAGCAAGATAAACAGTCAGGAGACCATGACTTCCTGTTGAAACAGAGATGTTGTTGCAAGCAAAATACAGAATCATTGTGATCATGACTTCCCCAACATGAAACTGGTCATGAGGACTTTATTATTGATTGGTAATTTTAAGTGGATGGTTATAAAAACTATTAAAATCATTTTTTGAAATCCATGTAGAGGACAGATCTATGCAACTTGATTTAAGCTGCGTACTTTTAATAAAGACGGCTATATCAAAACACAGGAGGATCCTTGATAAGTCACAGATGTCTTTGGTCACCTTGTCCTGGTTTCCATAACTACTATTAATAGTAGATGATTTATGACCACATAGGTGGTCCTATACGACTTTGCCTAAACCACCATCTTTTATTCTTTCCTCTCACAAACCACCTGCCCCATCCGAAATGAAATTGATCCAGTCTACCAGACTGGCCTGCCTCTGAGCCTTTTCCCATGCTGTCTCCCAGAGCACTCTTGTCTACTCTCCCAGTCTGCAGTTGGGCTCTTGAAATCCTCCCCACCCAATGTTGGGTCTGGTCAATGTCACCTTCCACTTCAAGCCTTCCTCAATCTGTCCATGTGAACTTAATCTTGACTTTCTGTGTTCTGAGAGAAACTTAAAACTATTTTAGCAATAATTAAATTTTCTGCCCTGTATTGTAGTTGTTTCTTGTATTTTATTTTCTCCTTAACTAGATCATAGAATCCTTGAAGTTCACAATTCTTTCTTATCAAACTCTGTATCCTGCCAGCATTCAATCAGTACCTTTGAATGCATCTCGACCCTACCATTTGTACACTGAATCAAGGTTGATTGTTTTTGCTATAGTACCAGCCCACATAAACACTCATGTGTCACATACCTATAAGTAGAGTAAAAAATCTATAGCTCTTGTAGGCCAGACTTCCTTTGTGCTAACTTGTTAGGATTCTGGAGCTCCAGAGCTGCTAGAACTCTGACTTTTTAAGTTCAAGGCAGAAAATTAAAATCTCAGTTGAATATCCTTTCTTTCAAATCCTAATTCTGTTCTGAATTAATGGAGTTTGGAAAGAATTCCATTTTTGATCTGCCTCAAATACCTCTACAAGAGTAGGTTTAACCAGCAGAACTAAGCCTCTCATCTTGTTACAATTCTCTACTCCTAATTAAAAGGTTAATACAACCAGAAGTCCTTTTACATTGAGCTTTGAAAGTTCTCAAAATTGCTACCTTTTATAGAAACCTCCTGAAAATGTTAGCCTGAGAAAGACAGAAGAATAAATCAGGAAACTGGCTGGTAGTGTTCGAAGGAAATATCGTTTGCTTGGTTAGAAAACTGTGAACTTTGAGAGACTAAGATATGACCTTGAAAATAGTGGGCTATATAAACATTCTTAATGTCATACTGTATGAACACTGTTGCCTTCTGAACTTTTTATTGAGAAGTAATTCTAGGTACACAGGAAATTACAAAACAGTAGAGAGGTCTCATGTACCTTTCCATTTTTCCCAATGCTTATGTCTTAATTATATAATTATAGTAGAATATCAAAACCACAAAATTGAAGTTGGTGAAATAAGTGTCTCATTTTATTCATATGTGTGGATTTGTGTAACCACCACCAAAACCAGGATCCAGACTCCCACCACCACAGAGATCTCCCGGTTCTCTCCTTTATAGTCACACTGCACACAAACAAGCACCCCAACTCCAGGCAACCACTAATCGGTTCTTCATCTCTATCATTTTGTCATTTCAGTCATGCTATAGAAATGGAGTCATATATTATGTGTCAATTTCTGATTGTCTGTATTCACTTAGCATAACGCCCTTCACATCCATTCAAGTGTTATCAATAGTACCTTCCTTTTATTGCTGATAAGCAATAATGTTTTTCAGATTTCTTTTTAATTTTACTTGTTTTGGTTTGTTTTCTTGCTACTATTGCTTTTATCAAAATGTGTTCCCTGGCTTTCATTCAGATGGCAAAGCTGTGAAATTCTAGAGCTTTGAACACTAAGAACTCTGTGTGACTGGTGACGTCTGAGCTATCTATGACTCTGTCCTCCTTGAATTATTTACCCTACTCCACCTTCTGGCCATGGGGTACGGCACTCCCTGGGGTTGACTAAAACCCCCACAGGAAGCATCTATGAAGCTTCCTGGAGGAGGTGGTTATTGCCTTAATTGGAAGTCATCAACTTTTTTTTTTATTTAAAGATTTCATTTACTTGAGAGAGAGAGCATGAGAGGGGGGAGGGTCAGAGGGAGAAGCAGACTCCCCACTGAGCAGGGACACAGATGCAGGACTCCCCATTAAAGAGTATTAAGCTACTTAAAGTACATGGATTAATATCAGTAACTTATCCTCCAATTTGTGCTTTTTAAAAAAAGAGTTTTATATATTTATTTATTTGGGGGAGAGAGAGAACGAGCAGGGGAAGGAGCAGAGGGAGAGAGAGAAGCAGACTCTCTGCTGAGCCTGGCCCTCACGGACTCGATCCCAGGGTGCTGGGATCATGACCTGAGCCGAAGGCAGATGCTTAACCGACTGAGCCACCCAGGTGCCCGGAAGTCATCAACTTCTTGTGGGTTGAATTGAGGATGTTCGAAAGTGGGTATCCCTCCAAGATCTCAGAACATAGCCTGGATTTCAGGGCAGGATTGGCCTGTGTGCTTAAAACCCCCTTGCTGTGAACGCTGCACATCTGCTCTCCTAATTCTCCGCATTTAGTGCCAATGGTGTGGCACATGTGGGAAATACAGGGGGTGAACAAAACCAGTGCTTTTTTACATTGAGGTTACGTTCTAGAGGAAACACAGATAACAGAGCATAATGTAACATCACGTAGTGATAGCTACTAAACACGTAAATAAACAAAATAATTGTGCAGGGCCTGGGGGTAGACTGTGACGGTGTGTGTTGGGGAAGGGGCAGCCTATTTCAGAGCAAAGGGTACCTGAGCCATGTTTTAGCACAGACCTGAGGCAAGCAGTGAGCCTTGTGGAGGTTGGGCTTGAACTCACTGAACAGAGAAAGCAGCAAGGGTGAAGGGCCTGAGGCAGGAATGAGCTTGGTGTTTTCCTGGAAGAATGAGGCTGCAACTCAGGGAAATAA